ATATATATATATATATATATATATATATATATATATATATATATATATATATATATATATATATATATATGTAAGTATTTATATGTACATGTATATTGTATATAGCTATACACACATACACATGTATATGTGCGTGTGGATTTGCATATATATATATATATATATATATATATATATATATATATTGTGTGTGTGTGTGTGTGTGTGTGTGTGTGTGTGTGTGTGTGTGTGTGTGTGTGTGTGTGTGTGTGTGTGTGTGTGTGTGTGTATATGTATATGTATATATATATATATGAACATATACAACTCTCTTTTGTGCATTGTGATATTTGTGCCATACATTATTTCATATAGTATATATATACATATGTATATATGTATGTATATGTATATATGAATATAAATGCATACATTGTATATATATATATATATATATATATATATATATATATATATATATATATATATATATTATATATACACATATCTATATATGTATGTGCGCTCGTATGAATGTGCGTGTGCTTGTGAACATATATCGAAATATATGATATATCAAAAGAAGAGGAGATTCACGCATGTGTGTAAATATACATCTATTAATTCATGCACACACTAATCTACATCTGAAAATACATATAAGCATAAAGATTGGCAGGCAAGCCATGAACACTCCCATGAGGCTGGAAAGACGGAGGCCGGGTCTTGAAGAAAAAATGAGGGAGTCCCATTCATTCTTCATGAAATGAATAGTGAATGACCAGTCTTCAAGGAATTCGTGAAAATGGCTCCAACATTACTTCTGCATCTACTGTAACGTCAGTATTTTTGAAAACGACGATTTTTTTTTTTTTTTTTTAACTTTCGTGAAACAATTTTCAATAGAGGAGAATGTACACGTATCAAGGATTTTTGTCTTAATAGGACAACTAAATCAGTTTTGTCACACTAGTATGTGACCAGGAGCAGCTTCACATACATTACGATATTATTTGTATCCATTGATTCATTTCTTTCTTATTTTGTTCATTTGTTTTGGCTTTGAAGCTATTATCTTGTGGTTTTGCTACTGGATTGCTAATCATTGTATTTGATTTATTTATAGAATTATTTTTGGTCATAGTTATATATGCAATATACATCGGAAAATACACTATGTGTTTTCATATCTTACTCTATGTACGTGCGTATATTGGTGTGTGCGTGTGTGAACAGGTTCATATGCACGCATATATACCTGCACACACGCGCGCGCAATTTTGAACAGATTTTGAATGAAATATCTCATGCACATAGAAGTAAAATAAAACATGTACTAAAATCAAGTTTTATTATCACGCGAATAAACCTCTTTACGAGTAGGAAGAAGTTAGTATAAGGCGTAATGTGCGGGTACTACTCCATGCCTCTGCTGGTACGAATATCCGTATCCTGGATGGGTGACGGAGCTAGCGTATCCGTAGACCGATCCTGTGAGACCGTGAGTG